ACTTGTAAATTTGTTGCTTGTTTAACCCATTTAAGGTTATGACCGACCAATGTATAGGCCATGCATTGTGGGTGAGTTTGAGTGTGACCAAAGTCGAACTTAATTGCAAATATTATCGCAAACTGTTGAAGGTGTGTCCTTTCTCTTGTTCACAATCCTTCTAATTAGAAGACCATAACGGACACCATTTTGTGTGTGTGTGTGTGTGTGTGTGTGTGTGTGTGTGTGTGTGTGTATGTATGTGTGTGTATGTGTGTATGTATGAGTGTGTATGTGTGTGTAAATGTGTGTATGTGTAAGTGTGTGTGTGTGTGTGTTTGTGTACGTACGTGTGTGTGTGTGTGTGTGTGTGTGTGTGTGTGTGTGTGTGTGTGTGTGTGTGTGTGTTTGTATACGTACGTATGTGTGTGTATGTGTGTGTGTTTGTGTGTGTGTGTATGTGTGTGGTAGGAGGAACTCATGTGATGCCAAGCTGTTCCACTCTCTTCTTGGCAGAAAAATCTAATGTTTTACGGGTTTCTTGCGGGAGGTTTGTGGGCATACTGGTGGCGGTCACACTGATGTGGTTTCTTCTTTCCTTTCCATCAAACTACTAACGAGGGTCTCTCGTGGCCTAGAGGTTAAGGTGTTGGCCTCTCATTCAAAGGTCCCGGGTTCGAATCCGGGTAGCGACCGAAACATTTTCTTCTCTAAAATTGTCTCATTTCACCTCCTTTCCTGCTCTCTAGCAATGTTCTGTTGTCTGCTTTCATTTTCACTTTCTGCCCCCACCCTCTCACCTCCTTTGCCCCTTCCTCTGGGCTCCTGACTCTTTCTGCAGCCTTTCTACTGCTACTCCTTGGCTCCTCCTTACTGCTGTCTTTCTGCCACACCCCTGATCTACACCTAGCCTTCTCGGACAAGGGCGAAAAATCTCGGAGGGCCCGTGTGCAAGTTGCGCACGTTAAAGATCCCTTGGTGGTCTAAAATCGATAAGAGTAGGCTTCGGCCGCCATCCGTGCAAAATTCAAAAATTTCCTACCAACTGAAAATATTAGGTGTGTCCCGCGCGCTCATATGACCTATGCAGTTGCGAGCGCCGTAAAACACTTTACAAAAACAAAACAAACTACTAACGTCCTAATGTCTCCTCCTTCTTTTCTTTGTATGTTCTCTCTAGTCTTCCCTCTATCACCCAAGATATCTATGTGTGTTGAAATTTGTTAGACGTACCACCAGAAAGTCGGATAATTGCATCACAAAGTGATATGCCAAAAAGTGAAATATTGCCAAGAAACTAGCCCAAAAATGGAAAAAGTGGAAAGTGTTTATCGGTGACCGATTCCCTGGTCCAGTAAAAGAAAGACAGTGGCGATGTCCATCTGTTTCCTGCAGTGTTGTATGGCATTGAGCTCAGATAGATCCTGACATGCAAGATCGAAGCAGCCCGCCTCCCAAATAGCCTAACATATGTCGTTGAAGGCGTGAAACATTTCTAATTCATCCAGTCATTGCTCGTCTTTTGTGCAGTCGGCCGAAGACGATCCTGAAATACGGCCTCTGAACTGACATACATGTAATTTGTTTTGATGTTGTCGCCAAGGGACAAACTCAGGCGTGTTTCTTTTGTAGTAATTTTTTTTTTTACCCTCCTCATTTCTATCTACTGGCGCTTTAGTGTTTAGTACATGTAGTAACAACAACAGCAAGAAATGTGCAGCATTTCGAATGATAAAACTAACATTTAGTATTAGTGTAAACACATAAGAGAAATGTTATGTTTACTTCATTTTATAACTTTTATCAACAAATTTATATGTCTAAGTGTAATAATAAGCCAACTGAAAATGGATACAGTGTCTGGTTAGGTTAACTGTTCTGATCATATTAGTCTTACATTCCTCTGCTCTGTCGAGTCACGAGGCGGGCGCCCTCTTTCCCGCTCCCTTCTAGAGTCAGTGTCACCGAAAGTTCCGAAAGTTTGCCTGAAGTCTCTGACTATGGTGGTGGCATTGTTAATAACAGTCCCTAAAATAGGTCTACTGGGGCAAGATGAGAAGGCAAAGGCAAATGGACAGAGGTTCAAATTTTGCTAGTTTGAGGGTTGTGCTTTTGTGTTTGGATCTGTAATTTCAATCTCTTCTTAATATTTGTGCACTTAAGTTGATTTAAGTTGTACATTGGAGTTTCTGTAGTTATTACTGTTCACTTTATGGAAAGAAACAACTGTATGACGACATCTAAAAAAAACCAGCAGAACAGCAAACTGATGTGGTTTTTTTCATGATTATGTTTTCAGATTTTATTACACAACTGACGACGATTTACAAAGGCAAGAATATTGACAACGGTATCACTAGAAGTATACAAATATGACGTCTAAATAAAAACAAAGAATGAAGGGAGATAATGCATGTGAGAGTGAGGCGAAGAAGAACATGCTGCATACATGGAAAATATGAAAGGATACGATTTTGCATGTTATGATAATATGGTACAAAGATAATAATAATATGTATCATGGTCAGCAAGTTGTCAGGAACAGGTCGATACGTTTTTGGAATAATGCTATAGATCTAACGGACTGATTGGTCTTCTGAATAGGGAATTTCTTTTTTTTACAAGGGACTTGTATAGCAAGTATTTTTTTCTTTGTCCATAAGACAAGTTCCCCCTTTTCAACATCTTGGGCTATTTGAGTTTACGCTGGGGGATGGAAAAAGTTAAAATAATTACTTTGATGTCTTTTTTTTTTCAAATGACTTGGAGAGGCATTACTAATACACGTAATAGAATAACAGAAAACAGTCTTGAAGTTTAACGCCTTCATTGGCAGACACTAAGCGGCTATTTTGTACAACACACAGAGCATAATATAACAGGCTGTTGCCTTGGGTTTATTTTTCCTATACGTATATAATATCAGACAGGTTACCCGATGCGGGCGATTGTGGTTCGAATTCTTGACAGGGGCATTCTTCAACATGTATTTTTTTTATTGGGACTTCAAGGCTCTCCGCCAATTTGGCTTGACCCTATAGGAGATGGACTTTATTCTCAGAGACCCTGCTTCTTGCATGTCTCTGCAGTGGTAATAGAAGAGTTCAACCCCGTTCCTTACCACACCAGACTTTGAATGTACCTCTAGTACAGGTATTGCCCCTATAGACTGCGGTGCAGCCTGCCCATTTTAAAATCTTCCAGGAGCCTTTTGACAGTTCGATTGTAAAACGAAGTTTTCATTCATTTTCGTTCACGTAGCTCGGACTTTTCAGAGATAGACGTTAAGTGGAAAGTCGCTTGAGTTACTGGTCTCTGTTGAATAATCATTTGAAGTTGAAAGAGTTTTGTTCGCTTGAAAATCATAAAACAACGCCAAAATTTACATTGGACATTAAGGGAAAAGACCTTTCTTCGACAAAAACTCACACACTCGCACTCACGCTTACACACACTCATATACACACATACACTCAAGCAAAAAACCCAACAAACTCACACACACACCCAAACATAAACACACACACACACACAGACACTCTGTCTCCCCCCCCTCTCTCTCTCTCTCTCTCTCTCTCTCTCTCTCTCTCTCTCTCTCTCGCACACACACACGCACACGTTTACACACACAAACATAAACACACACAGACACTCTGTCTCCCCCCTCTCTCTTTCTCTCTCTCTCTCTCTCTCTCTCTCTCTCTCTCTTTCTCTCTCTCTCTGTCTCTCTCTCTCTCTTTCGCACACACACACACACACACACACACACACACACACACACACACACACACACACGTACACACATACACACATTGAGTGTGACATTCTCTGTTAACAGAAACATTTAAATGAAACCACCCAAAAGCCATATATTCATAGAACGTGAACACTTGTCTTCTTCAATCCAATAATGTAATGTTATCCTCAGTGAATAATTCACAGCTTTCTTGGGTGGTGTTATCCACAGCGCGATAATGTGATATTTGTTACAGTACACACACTGTTCATGACCTTGGAGTATAATCCGAAGTCCGATGTACACGTGAAGCAAACCAGCACAATTAAATGGTTCTGATATCAGGCAATGTAAATTTCTGACCAGAACGCTGACACGTCATGTTTTAATCACTTCTGTTTGTTTTCCTGTGACGTGGTAAATTGTTCGTAATGTAGAACTCGAAGTCCGAAGGGCACTGGTAAGCCGTCTGTTCTTCCTGTCTGTCTGTCTCACATGTCCTGTGTAGTGGAAGGCCATTATTGTATCGAAGTCCTTCTCTTTGCGCTTACAAACGAAACCGGAATCCGATGGTGTGATAAATTCCATTGTCTGACAGTAAGCTGCAACGTTTGAAATATTATAGCTCGGTACGGTTCTTCAACTTTCACCTAAAAACGTGAGTTATGTTCCCTCGTAGAGGAGATCATATTGCGTCATGTGTCTCCATCTTTCACCTTGGGCGTGATATTGCTCGAAGGCGGCGGTATTTCTAAAAGGCGAGGTCTCCTGAATGATGTAAATTGTGTCAATAAAGGAGTAAAACATCAACAGCCAGACAATGAATCAAGTGTCAATGTTTATTATATATGTGACGTATTAGGATCTCACGTGAACTTAAGATTAAACTCGCTTTTGGGCTGGGGGATGGGGTGGGGCGCATGACGTAAGCATTTTTTCGATTCGTTAATTTCCGTTTAGAACATCATTAACCCAGACGTTACTTTCTGCAGCCTAGGAGTTCACTACTAGAAGCTAAAGGTTGCCACAATAGGAATTATTCATGTCAAATTAGTGCGGAATCAGCAAAGTCGCATCTGGTCGCATTGTTACGGATATGTGCTCGTCGATTTAGGTCGCAGTACCAAGGATTGGGTTTACGTAACTGAGCGTTGCGTGTTCTGTCAACTGTTCTCCTCGTCGTCATTTTTTGTGCGTTGACGTCACATAACAGAGATAGCTGGTGGTTGAAAGGTGCCATTAGTAGGCCCTAGTTATTTCACTTTATTCTGTTGATTCTTTTTTATCGATATGTTTGCCCTTTCACAACACTAAATGACATGCATCGTGTCGATGTGCTTCTCTTTGGTCAAAATCCAAAAGAACAAGGACATTGTTTTGAGACGAAGACGTTATGAACTAGCCTCGTTGTTTTGTTGTAAACGCGAAATGACGTAGTATGTTCAGCTCCCAGCGACGGGTTGTGTCGATCTGACGTCTAATGTCGCGTGATGGGAATTTCCAGAATGATCTCGCTATGTAGCGGGAACTTTGTTGTTGTAGTCCGACGTGTGGTGTAGTGGTTAGGCCCAAACCCAAGAATACAGAATTCGCGAGTCTGATTTCCAAGTGGGAAAAATTCTTTTACTCGAATATCTGCGTCTTTTGTAGGGATTCTGTGGCCCACAGGCAGGTCGAAGAATGATCTTGTTTGTGTTGAATAGAGTGTAGAACAATGCATGCCTGTCCTTGTAACAGACAGGTTTTGTTGTCATTTTTGCTGGACGAACCGACGTCGTCTGTGCTCGATGACGTCACAGCAGGGATTTTCTGAGCGCGATGAGACAGAGATGTTCATGACGGGGGCAGACCATGACGTCACTTGACGAAGGTCTCCAGATGCCCAGCAGCCGATGACGTCAGGCCACGAAAAAAAATGTCCTCGTCAGTCTGGAGGATGTCACATGACAGAAATCTCCATCTCTCGGACGGGTGACGATGATGTCACGTGACAGAGATCCCCCACGTGATGACGTCACATGACAGAGACCTCCATGTCGTAGACGCGCGTGCCGTTAGTCTTGGAGCGACACACGGTGCTCCTGTAGGCTACGTGGTGCTGTTTACGCTTGAGGCCCAGGATGGAGAGGAATGTCATGCGGAACTTCTTGCCGAAGAAACAGTAGAGCAAGAAGTTGGAGGCCGCGTTGATCTCCACCATGAACGTGCAGATGATGTAGAAACACTGAAAAAGGCAAATGGGTGAGGGGGGAGGGGGAGGGGGAGAAAGAGAGAAATCAGGATTTTGTAAAAATCTACAATTTAATAAAGTGCATGATTCTGGTGAAAGAGTCGGCGAGGGAATAGGGGTTGGGTTAGAAATAGATAGGCTAGGGATAATGTGAGAATCAGAATGAATCTATGTGTGGGCGGAAATGTTCGAGGATTTCATTTGGATCAAACGTATTTCGCCTGAATCCGATAAGAGCTGGCAATTTTTAGCTAATGATGTGTTTGAGCAGAATGGTACGGGGATTTTTGTAAAAACATTTTTCTTTCGTTGGCCTGAACATGCGTTTCTCGGTTGCTGATTGGCCTGTTTCGTGTAGCTGATTAGCCATCTATTTCCAGTAGGCTATTATAAAGGTTTTATCTTTTTTCAGCCAAGATTTTGTTTCATAAGCTCAAATCTCATATTTCAGATAATACGTTGTAATCCTCTTTTCTGAAGGACGCAGCTTCACATGTAATCGCGTTTTTTGGTTTAAATGTCAATGGTTTTCATTTTTATTCAGATTATTTTGGGGCTTTGGACCAATTTATAATTCTGGACTGTCTGTTTTAGGGCATAACGTGAAGGAAATGCTGATTTTTAATTATCTAAATAGCGATGGAAGTGTAACACATTTTCGATTTACTAAATTTTCTAAAGTATTGAATACGTTTTGTGGATTTTCATTTAGATTCACCGCTTGTCAAGAAACATCGAAGAAATATTTTTAAAGGACTCACGAGTATAATTTTCATTTATTGTCTTGGAACTAGCTAATAGTGCATAGGTCTGTTGTGAGAGACCGATTCTACGTTCGAGATCATTTTTGTAATGTCTTAGATAGTGTTTATGTTGGCCTCGAAAGCCGAACAATTTCTCGGATTTTGTTGGGTTTTTAAAAGAATAAATCGTTATTCTCTTTATCTTAACCAATTTTCATTTTGAAAGCATTTTCCCGTTAGAAAAAATATTTGTCACGACCTTTGTGAAAGCTGCCAACGAGTGTTGTGTTTTTAAAGTAAACCACTTTTCACAGTCACGATGATAGACATGAGGGGATGAAACCAAATATGCAGACTGGCTCGCGCACTGTTTAATTGAGCACCAGAGATACCTGATAATATCTGTAAGGAACTGTAAGCTATGGATGAGTCACCCCTTTGTACAGTTTGTAATGTGATAAGCTTAGCCAGCGATGGGAGGATAACATTCCAATCAGTGTTACTCTCTATAATGGAAAGCTTGAATATTGTATTTCTAACGAGTAGACTTATAGTGGTTTGCTCAGGAGGTTTACACCAAGTTTTATTGGTAGAGAATTATGGACTTTCTAGAATTTTCTGAAATGGTAAACTTTGGGAAATGGAAAGTTTATTATTTTGTGTCAAGCTAGATTTCCAGGCGGGTTTCTAGGTCTTAGATCCCTTACGGGATGTACATCACGTTTTTCTGGTTGTATGGCTGGTGCATGTTATTTGTCATATGTACGTCTCCTATATCAGGGGCCCGCAGGGTGATATTTTGCGCCCCCGCTTGATACAAAGTTACGTTTTGGTGCTCACGTTTTCTCACACGCACCTTTTTGTTGAGGGTTTTGCCTTGGGTTTGTAAAATCACGTATAGCCTACCCTAACTCGCGCTCGCGACAGCTTCCTTTGGTGTTTGTTGACTAGTTTTGAACGTGACTTCAAAGATGCACTTTTTCAAAAAAGTACTTGAAACGTATTTTTATGTGTGGAATGTTTGATGAGGCCCGGGTTCATCAAAACT